CAGTAGAAGCTGAAAAAGGGTATAAAGCAAAATGGAAGAACAAAGCCCTTTTTGCCCCTAACACGTTGGCTACAGTACTGGGCAAAAGAGAGGTGCAATCCACCACTGAAAAGGGCTTGCTTCTGTGCCAGTCATGTAGATGCCTTCAACCCAACAATCCCACGAATTTTCTGAGGCTTTCTTTTTATGAGGTGTTCCTCAAATGTGACTTGTTCTTTTCTTCTTTGTGTGAAAATGAGGCATTTCTGCTTTTCTTTTCATTCCCAGTCTGTGTCCCTAACCACCTGGCAATGGCAGTCTTGGCTTCTTTGTATACGCGAGGTTTAATTGTTTTGTGAACGTCTCTTGTAGCTACTGTGACAAGGAGTAACATTGGCTCAGATGACTGCTGTGTTGGTTGTGTTGTTGTGAATTTGGGTGTGTTAAGGCAACCGGTCCATTGGGTGGTTCAAAAAATGGTCAGTCCCCACTGCTTGCACTGATGAAGAGTCCTGAAAGCTTTTTCTGGCAGGTAACTTTTGCTGTTGATTGCAGGGGCTCCAGGACCAAAAGGGAGTCAAGGAGTTCCTGGGTCACCCGGACCTCCTGGACAGCCAGGCCCTCGTGGATCAATGGGACCTATGGGCCCATCTCCAGACATATCCCATATCAAACAGGGCAGACGTGGCCCTGTGGTCAGTATTCTCATCTCCTGTCATGCATTGCACAATTGGCCTTAGCTCCACAACTTCTCAGGTCCTTGTGAACACCTTCTTTTCTCTTGCAGGGCCCACCAGGAGCCCCGGGGAGAGATGGGAGCAAGGTGAGGAGAGGTACTGTTTTCCATAACGTGGACACATGCACATGTGAAGTGTAGGCTTGCTAGAGAGACTCTGTACACGCTTGTAGTCACACCCTTTTACTATCTCATTTCCACTGATAAGCTGAAAACATCCTGTTGTCCCATCCCTTCATGTCTTCCTTCTGCTATTTTGTGCTTGCCATTCCTTACGGGTTGCAAATACCCCTGCCAGGCTACCTATCAGGCAGCTTCCTTTCCTTTCTCTGCAGCTCTTTTGGCTTTTCCATTGATGCTTTAGCCTATTTCATTAGACTGCTCTTTTGTGAATTTCTCCTGTTAACTGGTTTGCTTGTTACTGTCTAGGAGAAATATCAGAAGTGCCCAACTCTGTTCACACTAGAATCAGCAGCAATTTCCTTTTCACTTTCTTTTCTTTTTCTGAGCAAGCATAAGCTGATGATTCTTGACCTGAGGACTCGTAGTAAGTGAATCTGCAGAGGCAAACTGTGATTTTTTTCGTTTCCTTTAGTCACAGCAAACTAACTGAGGTGGTATTGATTACAGGGGGAGCGAGGTGCACCAGGACCAAAGGGGATACCTGTAAGTATTGCACACAGGAGGAATTTCCACAACAGAGTGATGCTGACTACTAAGAACAGGTCAGCCAAAAGGAAAAAAAAATAAACCCTCTCCTGTGTCAAGAGCACAGTGAAAGATACTTTACATGCACAGAAAATGTTATTGGAAAGAAAGTAATTACCTGTTTTCGTCCAAGTGTTTTTGCCTACACACCTCTTCCCTTGCTGGGTGTGACACTGAAGGCACTAAGTGCACCTCTGCCCTACAACAGCGGTGGGACACCCTCAGAAGGCAGTAGCATGAGATCCCATGCAGAGTGCTAGTTACTACAGTTCAGCCACTCCTCCTGATGGGAGTTTGATCCCTGGAACCTTTTAATATCCTGCCCCTTGTCTCTCTCTGGGATTTGGGAAGCTATAGGCTTTGAGCAAGTCATCAGAAGAAGGATGAGTATTTACAATCTGTTTTCAGGTGAAATTGTTTAAAAATTTCTTTCTTACTGCGTTTACACATTGGTAGAAGGGATTTTTAAGAGTGTGTCCAGAAGAGTGTCCTCAGTATTAAACAATGTACTTTACTGTGTGAAGTCAGATAAAAAGAAAGGATGATTTTCTAAAATCAAATTAAAACCCAATGCATACTCTCTGCATTGCAATGACCAGTATATTTAGTAAGTGATGGACTGCAGTGAGGTTACCATATTGAAATGATACCTTCCAAATACCAGCATTCTTGGGAAAATTTTTTTAATAAATAATAATTATTGATTTATTAGTCATTTTAAGAATGTAATTTCTATCAGCTTAATAAGAAGGAACACAGAGAACCAAGATTTATCTCCTCTATTCCCATGAGGTGTCAAGATACTCTTAGGAGGCAGATATAGCAAAGGAATTGTTAAGTAACAAAAGGGCTGAGCATCTTGTAAATGTAGGCTCTATCTGCAAAAATATTTGCCTTCTTCTGAAAATTGTTTCCTGAGCAAGTTGATTCAAAAACAGACCATTAACTTTTGGCAATTGACATAAAGCAGTATTTTACTGAATTACCCCTGCACAAGTAATTAGTCAACCTGTTTGAAAACTGTAAGAGTGAAGTGCATTATTATTAATGACTATGCCTTGTGACTGCAGGGCCCACCAGGTTCATTTGATTTCCTCTTGCTGATGATGGCAGACATCAGAAACGACATCGCTGAGCTGCAAGAGAGAGTGTTTGGACACAGGACTCATTCATCAACAGAGGAGTTTCCATTACCTCAGGAATTTACAAACTATCATGACACAGTAGATTTCGGATCTGGAGAAGACTACAAACCACGGGCAACTCCCAGAGGCTCCAGGATACAGAAGGCAGCCCATCCTTAGCTATGCCTACTGAAAAACAGAGCCCCTTTAGAGTCCTTCAATATAAAAATGCACTGACAATGTAATATATATATATATATTATTTCCCAGTTTTCTCTCTGCTTTTCCCCAACTATGCTGCTTGTACTGTAGCTTTCCTGGTTCATGGTAGCCTCCTTGCAGTAGTTCCATACCATCAAGCCTGCACTGTGTGTTGTACCTAGACTATCCAGAAAACCTTCTTAGTATATAATACAATTAAGGCATGCTCTAGCTAATGGCGCAGACCACAGCATTTCATCTGCCTACCTTGCATTCTATGTCCAGATGATCCAGTACCCAAATTTTGTCAAGGGTAGAGGGGTAGCTGAACATCATCCCTGAACAACATCAATAATGAAAACCTTGGTCCACAATTACTTCATACATATAAATATATTATACTGCCGGGCTCAAGTCTCCAGCTACTGTCCCTGGGCTTAGGAGAACATGAAAAGTGGATTCCTGTTTCACAGCAGAGACCAGCTGTAAGTGAAATGTCTTCTTCTATTATGCCCCACTGTGGCAGAAAAAGGCAAAAAAAATATGGTGAAGCAGTGACAGAAGGCAGCTGCTTCTGGATCTGGAATTATTTGGCTTTGTGCGGCTACAGTATTGTTGAAAGAGAGTCGAAAAGATGTGTTTGTCCTAAACTAACACTACTTTTCCCTTACCATTCTCCCACTGCTCAGTGTGAAGGCCAGTTCCCTTCCTCAACGGATTCATGCTGGATAGATCACACAAAGATAAGCAAGAGAACAGGGGATGCAGGATGCAGGAAAACCAAGCATAAGTGCATCAAGTAGGTTTATTGGCAAGCACAAAATCAATCCCAGCCTTGCAGAAAGAGTCGGATTCTGACATCCTGTAGGTGCATGTCTTCCATGGTGAAATGCTGAAGTCCAAGTGAAACTGAGATCAGAGAGAGGCCTCGTGTTTGCAAAGAGCTTCCATCTGTTTTGTCCCTCTGCTGCATGAGTGCGACCTAAATGGCATTCATGGAACTGGAACACAGAGTTGCAGTGTATTTGGCTGGGTATATGAGTATGAGTAGGTGCAGGAGTGCACATGACAAAACATTTCAACTGGTACGAGGATGGCTAAGGTGAGGTACTGCATGGGGGATCCTATATTTGTGAAGGGGGATAAAAGGGAGTGCCCTTTTTTTACACTGGAAAATTGGATGCACAAGTTAGACCATACCTCATGGATGACGTATGTTACCATTTCTTTTGGATTACCACAGCTGCTGAGGACTTTGCCATGCTTAGAAGATAAAGATGTATATTAAGCACAAAACTTCAATGTCATATCTGTGTAGCTGCTACTTCTACAGTATGTTTAGTGCTGGGTCATGTCCATGTTACAAATGCAAAGAAAAACTTCTCATTTTGTCATGTTTTTCAGGGCTTGCATGTTCTAATAGAATAAATACAGGTAAAAATATAAGCAGGCCCTTTTCAGATAACCCATAAAGGTTTGGATTCCCTTCCATATTCTCTGGGCCAAAAGATAGTTGGTGTAATGCCTACACCACTGGTACCGGTCATGTTGTATAAACAACTGGCTGTCTAGACCTTTTGTATCTTTTGTATATTATCTTAAGAAGATGTGTTCATTCCTGTAACTGTTTCCCAACTCCTCACTATCACCATGCCGCAAGCAAGGGCATTAGCTTTAAGAATTTTAACGTTCTGTATTTCTCTTCACTTTATATGTATTTCAATATTTACAAAGCAATGACTAAGTCATGGGGATATCTTAGAAAAAATGATAGTGCTCTCACCCTATGGTCTTAGGGCTTCTCCTCTGAGAGGAGCTCTGCCAGCAGCTGCAGATCCAAGTAGTCTCGTGAACCAGGTAATAAGGAAATCAGTGAGACTTGGGGATGGAACTTGTGGCCACAAAAAGGATCGTCTTATACTCAGCAGGCTGAAAGAAACTTCTAGGACAGGATGAACTGAGGCATTTATGTCTTATTTTCTTAATTTCAAGCAGGCAACTAGGTATAAATAACATTGTTCATGAATATGCAATTTTAAGTAAATTTGTTAATTGTCAAATGTTGTATGTGTAACTCTTGCAAATTATGTAACTCTTGCATATGTTTACCACCACACCCCAACACCTGCTGGATCAGGTTGATTCCCACTACAGAATTAGTAGCTGCAGGGTTTTTGACCATCAGATACTGAATAATGAGTTAGATGAGTTGCTTCCTATGTACCAACTAAATGCTATTACCCCCTGCTCACAAGATGTGTTCTGAAAAGGCACTTACTTTAGTTCTAAGCTCTGCTTTTCCAAATACAGACAAATACCAAATAAGAAGTTCCTACAGTTTGACCATCGAATTCAGGGGTAGGTGACAATTGCCCTGCTGTGCGTAAGTATTGAGGGAAGGGAAATTCTGAGACTGGGCCAGAGAAGTAAGTAAAATACATGCTTCACTGTAAGTACAGAATGGTGCCCTACAGACTCATGAACATAAAATACAGCACATGTTTACATGCCTTTCTGCATGGAAACCTGAAGAACTTCCCTTTCTGGAGTGTGCATAATTGTTTTTCACAGCCTAGAGCTGGGTTTCCAACAGATGTGCATACTCCAGAAAAAAAGGTAAAGGAAAGTGCTCCTTGGGTTTGTCCTTGTGCTTTCACCCTCCTCTTTCCAGACTCCCTGCCCCAAGGCTGGTGGCTGAGTCCCAGCAGCAAGGAGGGTACACTATGATAAAGATAAGTCCACCCAATGTGACACAGGAATTCCTCCAGCAGGGAGAACCTCTCTGAGCACAGCTGGCTGGGAAGGTTTAGCCTTCTGTCTGGGTTCAGCTAAGATCTTTGCATAGACCTTTATAATTTTATTTCTGATTAACTGTATGATAACTTTCATAACACATTGTATCAGAAACATTTCATTAAGACTTCTGGATAAACATATAAAGACACTCAGATAGAAAAATGTCATTTTCTTCAGCATACCCAAAGTTTTATAAAGCCAGAGCAGAGGAATCATTTCCAATCTTAAGCTTTGTTACTGGGCAGCCAGGGAAGTCATTACCCTGTAAATTATTTATTACTCTATGCTCCAAAAATAACAAACTCCTCCAAGAATCCAAAACAAGAATGTAGAAACATCTACACTCATGCCTAGTTTCATTACTAGGCTCATGCACATGACAACTTTGTTTCATATAAATACTATGTATAATTTTATTAGAAAGAAATATTATTTTGATATGAAGACATCAAGTTATAAACAGAAGGATAATAAAGAGTTTGTTATTTTATTATAATTAGAAATATATTTAATGGAAACATTTGCAAGAGTGTGCAGTGATGGGAAAATGCTGATTGTTAATGGGTTTACCAAAATGGTAAAGCTTGGAAAATGTTTTGTTTCAACACTGTGCCAAGTACATACAGGATTAGTCTTTCTTGCAAAGCTGGAATACTGACAGAGTCAGGCTAAATCAGGAAAAGGAGAGGAAAACTGATTGTAAATGGAATTAAGGTAATGCCTGGAGTCATTGTTGGCATCACAGCTTGAGTAACCTTCTTCCTAGAAGTATTTCAGCGTTAATACACTAAGCCCCAGAGAAGCAACAAAAGATGGGGGTGGGGTCTGAGAATTTGTTAATTTCACATTAAAATCCGTATGTTTGTTCCTATTACACATTTGGATAACTATACTGTTCACTTTATTTATATACGAAATACT